ATCATTTTTATTACAGTCATAAGTTTTCACTATCTTATAAATAGAGTCAATTTTTAAAAAAACGTTATTCTACTATAACTTTTCGAACACTACTCTTACTACTTTTTAAAAATTGACTCTATTTATAAGATAGTGAAAACTTATGACTATAATAAAAATGATGTTATATTGACTTATGAACATAACTATCAAGTTGCTGAGGAAGTCTCAAATAGAGACGAAACGTTCAACGGATAAATATAGTGTTCATCTTAATTAAACCCGTCCAAAAAACAACTTCCCTAAGAGTAAACTTAGTAATAATTTTAATTTTTATGTTCTTTACAAATTTGCTGTCAATTAAAATTTTATCTGCCTTTGCATTCTATTTAACGCATAAATGAGAGATTGAAAAGTGTGAGTTCAGCTTACTAATACTAATACTCTATCCCACACAGTGTAGAGGGGTTTAACCTACAAGCTTATACACCGATACTATAGATGCATAGTGGGGTTATGGTGGGGATGCTGCTTCCATGTTGCACTTTTAGTTTGTGTTTTATCCGTATATGTCGTTGAAGTCGCACACGCTTCGAGTGAAAGATAGTGACAGCATTTATAAGCATACATACGTTTGATATGGATAATTGTAAATAAATTAATAAGTTATTATATGGTGTGCATAATAATGGCACCTAATCCACGTCAACGACAATTGTTTTATTCCAAAAAAGATTTAAGAAAAATCAATGGCAGGAGATTTTCAAAGTGAGTATCTGTGACATTTTATTAATTTACTTAACATCAGTAAAGATGTTTATCAAAGAACGTTTCTTTCATATGTCAGATATTCCAAATTTTGCCGGCTAACCATATTCTTAAATACATTATTAATAAATGTAACTGTTATTGTTACTCTTGACAATTAATTAATAAACATAAGAATATGCTTATTTTAATTAATATTAAAATATACAAATTTGTATATATATATTTTTTATTTTTTATTTTATAGATCAGAAGAATCAGACATCGGACTTGTGTATCCAGGTGTAGATACAGCATTTAAATTAATTTTATCAGCCAGATTTTGTTCGGCTATATGGTGTCATGTAACAGACTGCGATGAAACTTTTAATTATTGGGAGCCAGTATGTATTTAAATGTATAAGCAAATTTCTATTATTCTTTAAACAATTAGTTATAAATGTTAACCAAAATTAATGTTAACTCTATGATATTATGACTATATAATAGTAAATTAGAATCGTTACACCTTAGAGTCATTATTTGCTGTATGGAACTGGTCAACAAACATGGGAATATAGTCCTGAATACGCATTGAGATCATATACTTACTTGTTAATACATATGGTACCAGCAAAACTCTATCATTATTTATTAGAACCAAATCCAGTTCTAATATTTTACTTCATACGATGTCTCTTATCTGTAGGCTGTGCTTTATCCGAAGTATATTTTTACAAGTATGTGTATATCTTGTTAAATAAAATATGTCTAATAATGATCTTTTTTAATACACTATGTATTTATATTTTTAGAAATGTATGCCGTGAATTTGGAGTTCATATTGCAAGGCTTACGCTTGTCTTTCTTATCCTTAGTTCAGGCATGTACGTATCCAGCTCTGCTTTCTTGCCATCATCATTTTCAATGTAAGTATAAAGTAATGTTCTTCAAATAAAAAAGTTTTTGTTTTTAAGTAAATCATAATAATATTATAGGTACTTAAGTACAGTTGCTATAGCAGCTTGGTATGGTCGACAATATGAATTTGCCATTTTTGCCACTGCTATATCTTCTTTATTAGGATGGCCATTCGCATCATTACTTGGGTATTTCTAATTTATTTTTTATAAGATATATGAATAAAATATTTTATATTTAATATATTTTTGAATTGCAATAAAATTAATGTTGTAATATCTAGATTACCAATTGCCATAGAAATGTTATTCCATAGACAAGAATGGAGCAAATTTATAAAGTGGGTCATTATTTCTGCATTTGTAATATTAGCACCAATGATTTGGATTGATTCAATCTACTATGGCAGATTTGTTCTTGCACCATTAAATATCATAATGTATAATGTTTTCACTAATCATGGACCTGATATTTATGGCACAGAACCATTTAGTTATTACATCGCCAATGGATTTTTAAATTTTAACTTTATCTTTATTGGTGCATTAATTGCTCCATTTGGATTAGTAAGGTTCCCAAAAATATATAGTAGATAAAATTTATTTTATAAACAGAATTGTAACAATTCTAATAGTTTTTAGTTTGGCTTGTGATACCAGCTAAACCAAGAGAGCGTTTATGCTTACCTTATTGGTATTCGTTGGCACCATTGTATCTTTGGTTCTTAGTGTTCTTTCTACAATCTCACAAGGTATAATAATTTATATTATTTTAATTTAATATATACTTTATGTGATATCATCTTTACAGGAAGAAAGATTTTTATTCCCTGTATATCCAATGATTTGTTTGAGTGGGGCAATATCAGTGGATGTTTTGCAAAAGTTATATTTTTTTATCAGAACAAAATTTTGTCCATTACACATTGGATGTCACTATTCTCAATACACTACTCATATCATGACTATAGCCATCATTGTCTGTGGTCTTTTTGGTTTATCTAGAACTCTTGCTTTATATAAGGGTACAGTATCAAAATAGGATTAAAATATTAAGCAACATAAAATATGATTAATTAATAATATTATCTTATATTTTTATGTAGGATATTATGCTCCGATGGAAATTATGATTGAAACGAATAAACTTGGGTCAGAAGGAGAAATATCAAGTGATGGCAATATCAATTTTTGTGTTGGTAAAGAATGGCATCGCTTTCCAAGCAGTTTCTTTTTCCCATCAAATAAGTAAGTTATATAAATGAAATAAAAGTATTTAGTTCTTTTTATTTTGTTTATGTAATAAAATCTTTTTTTAGTTGGAAACTTCAGTATTTGAAATCGGAATTTAAAGGAGAATTACCTCAGCCTTATTTAGATCATGAAAATGCAACAAGTATCATTCAGCCACATTTCAATGATTTAAATAAAGAAGAACCATCTCGCTATGTAAGTCTTTATTTATTTATACAGTGGGTGATTGGATAATGAACAGATCGGACAATGAACATCTTTTTAGTACAGATTATGTTCATTGACCGATCACCTACTATACTTTAATTTTTATTAGAAAATATATAAATTTTAAAAATATTAAGATATATTTATTATAATATATATATATTTAATATAACTTTCAGATACCAGTAGAAAAGTGCCATTTCCTATTAGATCTTGATATTGGTACAGAAACAGATTCAGAACCAAATTACTCTAAAATGTCTAATCAATTTATTGTATTGAAATCTTCAAAATTTCTCGATACATCCAAGTAAGTATATGTTTAGATAACATTTATTACTTAATTATTTTATATCAATTCATATATTTTATCTATTAATTTCTTTCTTTACAGATCACATTCTTTCTTTAGAGCATTTTATATACCATTTGTATCGTATAAATATTGTACATATGGTTCATATAATTTATTACAGAATAGTAAGCTTATTTTAACTGCTCCATTATCAGGATACAAAAATATCAGAGCTTCTTGAACAAATTTTATTCGATACACATTGAAATAACGAAACATATTTTAACAGGGTTTTCATCAGGAACATTGTATATTTATTGTTATTTATGTTTCTTTGTTATAATTATAATAGAATTGATTGTACGAGACACTATAAGGAGCTACAAAAATCATGAAAAGAAATGAAAAATGAAATTTAAATATTTTTGCTTTAAAACAAATTATATTGAACATATTTAATTTGCATTACATAAATCTTTCCCCTTAGGTAAGTTTGTAAATAATGATTTAAAATAAATAAGTTTTAAGTAAATCGATGTAAATTGTTATAAATGTACATAAATATTTTGAAAAAGAATTTATGCACATGTATATAGGTGTACAACTTTGCTTTTTAACGTTAAAAACAGTGTTAAAATCAGAAACTCAAAAATAATAGATATTACTATGTTTATATATATTATAAATGTTCAATATATGCAGATTATATAATCACATAATTTAATTTATTTATTCATGTTAATTAACGCATTTTGTTGAACTATTATGTATATGTGGTAACATACGTGTATATAAAAATGACTGTCTATGTGTATCATCAGATAAGATTATAAAATACAGATAAGATTGTAAGGTACAGATAAGAAATATAAGATATTCTACATATTAAATTGTAGTATTATATATAGATTGATTTAAACTAATTTTAAATAAGTTAATATTTTATATAAGTAAATAAGTAATTTATTTATAAAAATGTTGTACTATATTATATATTAAACTGCACATATGCTTTGCAATATATTAATCAAGAAATTGATAAACGTATAAATATACGATTTTTTATATAAATAAA